TCAGTAAGAGCATTGAAGATGGGTTGTAGCTGGGTCTTCCAGCATGACAATGACCCCAAACACACAGCTAGGACAACTAAGGAGTGGCTCTGTAAGAAGCATTTCAAGGTCCTGGAGTGGCCTAGCCAGTCTCCAGACCTGAACCCAATAGAAAATCTATGGAGAGGGCTTAAACTCCGTGTTGCCCAGCGACAGCCCCAAAACCTGAAAGAGCTGGAGAAGACCTGTATGGAGGAGTGGGCCAAAATCCCTGCTGCAGTGTGTGTGCAAACCTGGTCAAGAACTACAATAAACATCTGACCTCTGTAATTGTAAACAAAGGTTTCGGTACCAAATATTAAGTTCTATTTTTCTATTGTATCAAATACTTATTCCATGCTATAAAATGGAAATAAATTATTTAAAAATCTAACAATGTGATCTTCTGGAATTTTTTTTGTAGATTCTGTCTCTCACAGTTGAGGTGTACCTACGATGAAAATTACAGATCTGTCCATTCTTTGTAAGTGGGAAAACTTGAAAAATCGGCGGTGTATCAAATACTTATTTGCCCCACTGAAAGCTCAGTGTGTCTACAAATTGTCTTGATAAAGACCTTTCTTCCTCTTCTCCCATGCTGTCTCCAAGTAGCTAGCATATTTAAATGATTCATATGTGAACAACCAAATCAATCTGCGTTACCCATATTTACAAAATGTTATTTTACTAAACAAGGAGAAGTGCAGTTTCCAAGAGAAAGGACAATAGAAAATAACATTGTTTAATGTCATTTAATCAGCACCGTCAACAGATTCTTCTAAACTAAGAAACTGTCCAGAGATCTTTCCTATACCAATCATATTTTACATAATTCTCAGTACCAAATTCATTTTGTATCAGCCTAAATTTGCGCAGTTTTGGTTTAGTCCCTATATCAGCAGCCCACTGCCTTTTACTCTCAACAGTCTTTTCATAAAAAAAAAAAAAAAAAAAAGCTTCACCAAACCCACAGTTGTCAAACAATAAGCTAATGTTTTCTGGCCAAGAGCCACTAATTTGCCTATCCCAGATAAATATCTTTTTCGTCAGCCTACTTCCATGTTCCATAGCTGAACAATGCATGTGTTATGGCTCCCATCCCATATCCCCTACTCCTGACGGCTTTAGTACTGTACACGTGTACACCTCTTATAGCACTGTTTTGTACTGATTCACATACAGAAATATTCTTAAGACCCCAACAACATAATCAAGCACAGGCCAAACACAAGCCTGAAAAGTTTTGACTATGCTTGAACACTCATATCCCTTAGATTTTAATAATTCCTTCTGAAGCTGTGTTTAAGTGTATGGGTATGTGTAGCTAATGGCTGACAGAGAAGAGTGCACTGTGTTGCTGAAGGAGTTAAGGGGAGGACAAGGTTTTTGAACTGGTCTTCTGCTACATAATGTCCACGTCAGTACAGCTGGAGCAGGGTGTGAGTCGGGGGGGTTGATGGTGGGAGTTTTAATGGTGATGTAGTGCTTGTCAGTGACATACAAACACTTGACAATCAGGGGGATAAATAAGTTCTTACTTAATAAGCAACAAAAACATGTGATTTATCGGTCTGTCAGCAGTGTGACAGACCAAGTTTGTGGTTGTTTATGAAGATGCATGAAACCAAAACTGTCTGCTCTCATACCAGCCTCATTGTTTTCCTTGTTTTTCTACCCTTTCACACTCATTCTTCACAAATTTTTACTTAGTCAGCCCTGACAGACAGTTTTACCGGATGCATGATTTTTTTTTTTCCCGGCCTGTGAACTTTGGAAAGTGTGGCGTTTGTTGCTGTCGGCAGGGCTCCTCTTCACACCTCTCTGTCCAGATAGCTTGCTACCTCTTTAATTCACACTCTGTGGCAAGCAAGATAAGACACACTGTGTTGGCTTTCCTTCCAGCTGGCGTGGATACAGACTGGCGACCAAACCTCACAGCGATGCTGAACAGCCACAACAAACCCCAGCAACAAAACCTCATATATGAGAAAACAGTGTGCAAAACATCACGGATGCAATTATCTAAAGACTTGCATGGCCAGTCTTTTAAAAGAATGTTTTTGTAAACGCAAAGCAGACAGAGACTTGCAGCTTGCTCGAGAAATTAATAACAACTTTTGCTTGGTATTTGCATTTGTTAGAAATACACTTTTTCTTGTTTTTATCTAAGTAACGATGTAATTTCCCTAGTGTGGACATGCATTTAAAGATAAGACCACAGAGAACTAAAAAAAAAAAGATACAGAGAAGTTACAGTAAGCCAGTTTCACAGGCTATTAATATTAAAAACATTGCGCCATCAACTAAACATGAAATATTTAAGGTAGAGCAACACATGTCCAGAGGCAACAGACATGCATTGTGCTGTAAACACCTCATCTTAACATCTCTTAACTATCTCAGCCAGGAACGAGGTTCAGCTGTGTGTTGGGACAAAGAATAAGGGCCATAAGCTGCACTATTACACTTCAGGGGAGATGCTGCTGCGCCATCATCCACAACCTGGTTGATAGATTGCTAACAGATGACAGAGTGAGAAAACGTAATTAGAGAGTAACTGGCAGATTCCATAGAGGAGGCATTCAGTGACCAAGATAGTTTTCATGCAGTGTTGCTAATCAAAAAATACACTGCGGAGGGGAATGTGTTGAGCAGGTGGGAGAATGGGACTCCAAGTTGAAATCGTTATGGAATGAAACT